CCTCAGCTTGCTGTATGTATTCCAGCATCTGGACACCAAATCTCTCACTTAACATTTAAAGCTGTTGTGAATAGAATAGTTTTCTTAATTTCTTTCTTCATAGGTTATTGGTGTATAGGAATGTTGTTGATTTTTGTCTGATTTTGTATCATAAATCTCTTTTAATTAGAGTATTTAGATGATTTATATTTAATATTAGTAAATGTGAACTTAAATTTATCATCTTGTTTTTCCTTTTTGTGCCTTCTATTCTCTGTTCCTTTTCCCCTTTCTTGTCATTTTTAGCATTCCATTTTCCCTGCTGTTACTCGCTTACTAGCTGTAGCTGTTTTATTTTCGTGATTTAAAACTTATCAGTCCATTTTCAAATATTGCAATATTATATCTCTATATAATGTGTAAAACCCTTTCAGCAGTGAATGGTTCGGCCGGGAATGTAGCTCAGTGGCACCACAATTGCCTGGTAAGCACAAGGTCCTAAGTTTAGTCCCCGGTACTGGGGGAAAAAAAAACACAAACAAAAACAGTGAATGGTATTTCTGTTTATTCCTTCCTACCCCTATTTCGTCTACACTTTTTGTCACATATTTTACTTTACAAAGGCTGTACTTTGAGGGATCATTTCTATAGTTGGTTACTAGAGAAGTTTCTCTGATTGTGTAGAGTACATATTTTACTTTACATATACTGTAAACCTCACAGTATGTTTAGAGAATTATTTGCTAAAGAGATTTATCAAATAAACACAAATATGTTTTTTTGTTTGTTTGTTTTGTTGTTTGTTTGTTTGAGACAGGGTCTCACTATGTAGTTGAGATTGAGCTGGAACTCACTATGTAGCCCAGGCTGTCTCGAACTCACAGTGATCCTCGTACCTCAGCCTCCCGAGTGCTGGGATTACAGGCTTGCGCCACCATGCCGGGCTTAACACAAATATCTTTTTATTTCCAATCAAATGTATTTTACATTCCCTTATATAAATCTACATTTTGATCTAAGTATCATTTTCCTTGGCCTTTAAATTCCTTTAACATTCTTTGTTATGCTGTCTTTTAGTGAAAGATTTTCTCAACCTTTGTTTTCTGAAAATAATTTTAACCTTTTCAGAGGATATTTTTGGAGATTATAGAATCCCATGTTGACATTTTCTTACCATATTGCCCTTTAAAGATAATCCATTTTGAGTTTCTCGGGTTCGCAGGCCTGGGCCACTCCTCTGGGATGTGAGCTCACAGCCCAGGATCTTGGGCAGGCAGGTGGTGGCCATGGGTGTGGGGCATCAGAGTCCCAGGCCTCACCTGTGACCACTTCCACCATTGTGGAGCCTTCCAAGTTCACTTCCTAATGAGTGGTGATCTGCCTGCAGTGGAGATATCTGGGGACACCTGTTTGTGCCCAGCCTTCGGGGCCAAGCCTATGCTGAGCAGCTTCAAAGGAGTTGGGCTGGGCAGCAAATACATGCAGCTCAGTGTGGGCGTCTCCCTGTACTGCACAACTGTGCTGGCACTCGCCCGGCATGTTGCCATGCTGAAGGCCATGTTCTGCAGCGCATGGAGGTGCTGACTGACAAGTCTGGGAAGCATATTGGCACCATTTTGAATTACCTCTGAGATTACACCTCACCTCCCTCAAAATCAGGAATTGATGACTAAAGCAAAAATAATGCCTCACTCAGATGCTGATGAATATGTACCAGACTGCCCTGCAGGACGAGAAGGACTCCTGGCCTGTGGGCAGCATCCCCATTGTCCTGCCCCCAAAGGAGGAGTCCTCTATCAAGCCGGAGGTGGAGCTGCTACACCACGGAAGCAGCAAGCACTCCTATGCCAGCAACTCTGACGGCCACCTGCTGAACAACATGGAGCTGTTGGATAAGCTGCCCTGACACTTGGTCAAGGGTGTGGTGATGACATCTGATACCAGTCCTTTTTTGACCAGGGCTGTGTAAACTGGCAGAGGCATGCTGTTCCTCCATTGTGTATGCCCAGAGAAGGAGCAGTCCAAGGTGGAATTCCCAGAGGCCCGAATCAGTGAGACACCTCAGTGTCCTGCTCTGCGAGATCCCTCGTGTTCCTGATGACTTTATAGGAAGCCACAAGCTAGAGCCATAACCAGGCTTCCCCCAGTGAAGACGAGGAGACCTTTGAACAGCAGCACCAAGTGTGCCCCATCTTTGTCAAGTGCTGTAGCACTTACAGTGGCCGGCACTTTGGCTCCCGGTTTGCCCATTGAAACTGACAAGACCTTCAGGGAGTCTGGGCATCCTGTGAGGAAAACATTTCACCCCCGCAGCTTAGAGAGACTAGTGGGATTGTTCTTTTTGACTGTGGTCCTTGAAGGCATACTGTCTTCACAAACCATATGGCCAGAGGCTGGCACAGAGGCGTGGAGCTAGACACCAGGAAGGCTACAAAGCCTGTGGGTACTGCGCAGTGTGGCTTGGCTCCCAGCCTCTCATGTAGAGGTGGCTGAGACTTGTCAAACGTCTGCCTACCCTGACGCCCACGTTACTGGTTTGTGCTGTCTATGGAAGGTGGTTGGGCTCAGTGGTGAATCTCTGAGCAAAATGACCCTGACAACCGCCGCCCCTTAAAGACCTTCATTGCCACTTGCTAGGTCGCTTGGCCATGGTTGTGCTGCGCGCCAGCCAGGGTGGCGTTCCCCCTCAGGACTTGGGTTTTCATTCCCTTCTTTGTTTGGCTTGCCTGAATTCTTTCTAGAGGAATGTTGTCAGGGAAGGAGCTCTCTACTAGCCACGCAAAGCAGTGTGACCATGTCCAGTCCCACCCTCAGGAAGGAGCACAGGTTGCCAGGCTTTTCCCTCGACTACTCTCCAGATTGCTGTGTGGTTGGTCACGGCTCATCTCTGAGCCTACGGGCAAGTTCCAGGCCTGGCGTTGGACACTCATGAGGATCTGAAGTGACACGATGAGGAAAGGCAAATGTGACTTACTAATCAGGCATTTTTTGTTAGGCACGATCTCGAATGTATGAATAGTTCTCAGGTCTGGCCCTGGAGTTAAGATGACAATCCATTTCTTTGGCCAGATTCAGACTTTGCCTTCGTGGCTTTCCTATAGAGACTGGAATGCCTCAGCCTGAGGCCACCACCCTATTTCCTCAGCTTCCCTCATGAAGGAAGCCCTTTAATAAATTCCCAATCCCTCCGAGGGTAGTTTCATGCTTGTTCTTAGACCTCCACATCCCCTTTACCTGCTAACTAGTGCTGTGACACTCAGATCCTCAGCCCTCTCAGATAGCGAGTTTTGGTCCTTAGCACAGTAGTCTGGGGCTGGAAATATTTCTTCTTTGACTGTTCTCTTCTTGATCTTAAGGAAACACTTAACATTGGAATCACTGTTAATGATCTTAGCTTCTTTAATCAGACTTTGTGGCTTAATGGTTTGGGGAATTTCTTAGCCACATTCAGAAAGCAGCTTTTGGCAGTGTGAATATTTGAATTCTGAGCCAAGCAAGGGAGAAGTAAACAGAATGGATTAAGGTTTTTAAAAAAAGGATAATCCATTTTATTATTGTTTTATATTGTCTTTGATGAGAAATCTGCAACCCAGTGATACATTATTCTTTCCTTTTATATAGTATAATGCAGGATTCCTACATAATCTCTGCCCCTGGTCTTTAGAAATTGTCATGATTTCCTTTGTATTTAAGTTGCTTAGAGTTTCATTTAAAAATTCTCTTTTGGACACCTTTTGTAAATTTGTATATCTCTGAGTGAAGAATTGGGAATTTTTTAGAATTATACTTAAAATCACTAATGACCCCAGTGAGTAATCAGTACTTTTGTTAGGACCATTTAACTTTATTGAGTTATTTAAGGGTTTCATGCATCAGTATGATTATATATGTCTTCTGTGGAAAGAAAGTATTCCATTTCCCCCCATATATCTAACTTTAAAAAAATTTCTACTGACACATACTAAATCTCCTATTTATGGGATAAAGCATATTTCATACAAGTATACAATGTTTACTGATCAGAGCTGCATAACTGTTACATTCCTTATCTCAGACGTTGGCCATTCCCTGTGTGGGAACATGGGGCGTTCTCTCTTAGCTGTTTTGTGGTGTACAGTCGGACGTCAGCCATGGAACATGCACAGCTGTTCCTTCTAGCTGTCTGCTTCTCTGTACCCTTTAACCACCCTCTCTTCCAGTGCACCCCTCTCTCTTCCCAATTTCTTCTAAGCACTACTGTTTCCTACTTTTTTAAGATCCACCTTTTTAGTTTCCATGTCATGTTAGTTAGCTTTTCATTACTGCAACTAAATGCCTAAGGAAAAGAGCTTCAAAGAAGAAAGGTTTCTTTTGGCTCAGTTTCAGAGATTTCAGCAGTCACTTGGCTGTGTGCCTGTTAGGCCCTGGTGAGGTCAGGCATCACAGGGGAGCAGAACTGCTTACCTCATGGTAGTAAGGGGGGGCAGAGAGTAAGAGATCCAGAGAGAAGGGCTGAGGCCAGGACCGTGCCTGGGGCTGGTGCCTCTAGGTCACACCTCCAAGCAGTGCCTTCAGGTGAAGGAGTGCCTGTGTTAGCTGAGGTGGAGTGGGAGCCCTCACACTCCGGTCACTCCCTAAGGCCCAGCTCGCTTGCTCTCTGGGGGCTGTGTTAGAGAGCAGGCCATTTATGGGCTTTAGTGCTTCATTTATATGGATATTGATGTTAATTTTGAAATCAAAGTGTTTTTGCTTTACATAGTGTACAGGTACAAATCATTTTAATTCTTCAAAAGCTTGTGATAAATAACTATAGTAAAATGAATAATCTGTGTTTAGGCTGAAACTCATGGTGTCAACCCTTTGTTTAAATATGGAGAGTAGCTTTCCAGTTACCACGTAAACTTATTTTTAAGAGAAGACTTTGGTACTATCAACTATTTTTGCTTTTTAATTTATTAATTTATTAGTAATTTAATTTATTTATTAAATGTATTAATTAGACTTAACATAATGAACTTTAATGGCAGATTCTTTATTGTCAGGTTTTTTTTTTTTAGGCCTAATCAACCCCGAATAACCAAAGATGTAATTTGTTTTCATGCTGAAGATTTCTTAGAAATAGTTCAACGGATGCAGTTGGATTTGCATGAACCTCCACTATCCCAGGTATAGTTAAGATAATTATTGTCTTTAGCTCAGATGTTATTATGAAAAATACTTACCTGCATTCCTGTTTCTTTGTTCAGTGTGTCCAGTGGGTTGATGATGCAAAACTTAATCAACTGAGGAGGGAAGGCATCCGCTATGCCAGGATTCAGCTGTATGATAACGACATTTACTTTATTCCAAGGAATGTTGTTCACCAGTTCAAGACAGTGTCTGCTGTATGCAGTTTAGCATGGCACATTCGACTCAAGTTGTATCACTCAGAGGAGGATGTTACTCAGAGCACAGCCACTCACGAAACAGGCGCATTGCCGGATTCCACGTCGGTCATTCTTGCACCTCAAAAGGACAGTGTGATATGTGCTGTAAGGAAAACCTCCTTGGATTCCGTGTTTTCAGACAAACTTCATTCTAAATACGAATTACAGCAGATTAAACATGAACCTAATGCATCTGTAAGGATCAAGGACGAACCTGTGAATATTAATATTCCTGAAAAGACTAGAGCATCGAACAATATGGATGAGAAGAATAGTAAAGCAAAATTGGATCATGCTCAGTTTACAGAATTCAAGATTGACATGGATTCTAACTTTGAAAATAACAACAAAGAACTAAAGGAAGAATTGTGTCCTGGAAGTCTTATAAGTCTAGTTGATACAAGGCAGCATAGTTCAGTACACTCAAATCAAGATAGAAAAGATGATGACATTTTGTGCTAAATTTGTACAGAGCATTTAAAATTCTTTTTTTAAAAAAATTAATAATGTAATAAAGATTCATGAATTCTGAAAGCAAGCAAAGGACTTGCTCTCGAGTCTGTTACAAAATATAGATTATGTAGCTTTGTAACATTCCTCAGTGCCTGTCCATAACTGTGAAGTATCAAGCACTTAGGGCCAGACGCACTGTAAACACTGTAGGTTTAAACATAAAGGAGTCTTCAAAAAAATCATTTGAGTTGGAGTTGTAGGTTTTAAAATCAAGTGGACGTTAACACGCGCGCGCACGCGCGCGCGCACACACACACACACACACACACACACACACACACACACATATCTATATTTTGTAATATGAGCCAGAATTTTTTTGACAGTTTAAGGGTTTTCCATAGAGCTTATTTATACCATTTTTTTCATTTTAAATGTGTCAGCACTGTAGTGTAAATAGCTTTAAAACATCTTTTTAGTGTGATTTATATTGCAATGTGAGCCACTTAATAAAGGTTCATCATAATAAAATGTTTTCTGTTCAGTCTGCAAAGACAAACTGACAATTCAATTAAATTGTTTGTTGGGTACATTATGTTTCTCTATGCTGGTAAATCTATTTAGAGTGGTAAGGAGTGCAAAAATGTATGTGTTCAAGTCTAGTAAATATTTAAATTCTCCACACTGTGCAAGCATTTTCAAAAAATGAAGATACAGTTATGAAAGTGTGTGTGTGTATGTGTGAATGTATATATGTAGATCCTATTTTGCACAGTTTCTTAAATTGCTGAATAAGATGAATATGTGAAACTTCTTAGCCCTACTTCCTAGAATACATTTTAAAATATTTATATTCAACATTAAGAAAGCAGTTTAGGTAATAGAAAAAATTTTAGAAAGTTGGGAGAAATAAGATATGTTAATAATATCTAATCCTTCTAACTAATGAAGATATGTTGCCAAGATTATTTACTCATAAATTTTCTTTGTTGTGTATGGAACCAGTAGAAAGTTTTCTTCTTAATAAGCACCTGTGCTATACTTCATTATAGCTGAGTAAAAAAATCTTTAGTTACAGAAAATTTAATTGCAAACAGTTCAATCCTGTCTTACATTTTTCCTGCAGAATGGGAAAAATATGGCAAAAATCAAAACCATAAAATAAGGGCAATGACTTGACTGCTATATATAGAGAGAGAACAAAATACTGTGTTACCCCATCTTTCTCAGGGTTCCCTCCCTGCCCTAGCAAGGGAAACAGCTTGGTGTACTTCCTATATAAAGAAGTGCTAGAAAATAAATGTGGTAGGACACAGAATTGCCAGTGCCTAATTAAAGACGAGTAAAACGTATCTCTTTATGATGGGGTCAGCACTATTTCAGACTGCTTCCACTCCTGTAATAAAAGTCAAATCTGTGATGCATGCACAGAGTAAGGAACTCTGTTCATTGCAAACCTATTCCTTGGTTCTTCTATTATTCCCATACTTTGGTTGATAACTTAGTTGCGGTTCTTTGTGCTGCATTTCAGTGTTTTCTGTTCTGGCCACATTTGTGGTTCCCATCAAAACTCAATTCTAGTTAGAAGCCATTTAGAAAGATGCACTTCATGGGAACAAATAAAAATTAACTGCATCAGTGATGTTAGTTTTGGCCCTCATTTTAATAAAAAGGTGGGCAAATATAGGAAATCAGTTTTTACAGCATGGGCAGTTTCATTGGATAGGAGGATGGGAGGCTCTAAATCATGATAATGTAAGTAGGGGTTTTGTTTCACATGTCACTATTCTACTCCCTATTTGATGTTTTGTTAAATTTAGGGGCTTTTATCTTCTTTGGGAAATAAAGTTCTCAATCAGAATGGAAACATAGGAAGGGATTGCTTAAAATACTTTTGATCTTTTAAAATTGAAAAGTGATGTACTTAAGAAGGTATGCTTTATTTCCAGTTTTCCAGGAGCATGTACCTAAATGCACTGAGGTCACACTGTAAGAAGATGTCTTTAAGGGTAACCCTCTGAAATACATGAGCCTTAAGCATTTAACTTGAAGGAATACATATCTAAGACAGCTACAGTGGTTGCTTTTAGGTACACTTTCTTATATAACGTATATCAAACTAATGCAAGTTTGTTTTCTAAAATGCTTAAATCTCTGTGGAAGTGAAATACACCTAAATCAGGGTAAGAGTAAATCAGTTCACCTTCAGTAAAGCTTACGTTCCTTGTCTCATGAATAGTGTGTAATTTTTAAATCCTCTTTAGGTCAGTCTGAGAACTTGTTGACTACCTTTGCCACACATACATTTCTATTTTAATATTGCATCATATTCATGGTTCTTAGTACATTCCAGTTATCTGAATAGAAGATCTCGGCTTTTATTTCTAATATCTTGGACCAGAACAATGAAGCACTTAAAATAGATTCTATATGGTAGTGTGCTGTATAGAATAAATTGTTATATAAATTATTAAATGGTATATAGACCATTACATAAAATCTTTGGTATCTCAGTGGTATCTATTATAACAATTATTTTTTTTCCCTACTTTTGTTTGTTTTGTTTGGTACCAGGGATTGAACTCAGGACCTTGCACTTGTGAGTTAGGCACAGTGCCACTGAGCTAAATCCCTGGCTTTTTTTTTGGTATCGGGGATTGAATTTAGGGCCTTTCGCTTACAAGGTAGGTGGCAGCACCACTGAGCTAAACCTTCATCCCTGGTTTGGTTTTTTTGAGACAGGGTCTTTAAACTATGTAGCCCAGGTTGGCCTTGAACTCAAAGCAATCCTCCTGCCTCAGCCTCCCAAGTGCCAGGATTACAGGTGTGTGCTACTATGCCTAGTACCTACTTTTGTTCATACCCTGTTAGGCTACCTAAGTAATAATATATATTTCATACTCAGGTTAGCTGGTTAGCTAGTGAAAGAATTAAGCATTTGTGGTATTTACTTGCAAACTTTACTAAAGCCATATATATTCATTATCCTTTGTCACCAAGACTGTTGACCTTAAGTAAAGATGAGGTTGATGTAGCACAACTCTGTATGTGTGTGTGAGTGCATGTGCATATTTCTGTGGATGTCAGTTGTCTCCATTTATGAGGGTGTCATTGAGAGTAGGAAAACATTTCTTTTTTAGGTTAGCTCTTTTAAGGTATTTCATTAATGTTCCTGAGTATAAAAGAGGTTTTTCCCTAAATACTTATGGCAGGGAAGATTTTTATAAATAATGAATTAGCACTGCTTTGTTCCCTTTAGTTACATTTTTTTAGCAGATTTACTGTCATGTAAAGTATTTGTCTCAAAATTCATTTTGCATTTAGCAGAGGTGCAAGATTTGTTTTTGAAGTGTGAAAGGTAGTTCCTTGTCTTGCACCTTTCAATAAACACAAAGATTGATAACCACAATCTTTTTACTTTTGTAATTATTTCCTTAAATTTGACATTTTATTTTAATCTTGGTATATAAAATATTTCTTAGGTTTCTGTCTTCAGTTTTTTAGTATATGTGCTGCCAAGGCAGGCACTTTAGGTTTCTGTCTTCAACAAACCATAACATCTTGGAATTGATTCCAACTCACAGATACTGTTTTCCTGTAAAAACCTAATAATGAAAAATTGACTTATGCCAGTGGGGGAAGAGTACAGAGGGTTGCTGAAGGTCCAGAGTTAGGTATGGGTGCTGGGAGTGGCACAGTGACACTCCTGTGTGCCCTACCTGCAGCTCTGTCTCAGCAGGGAAGAACAAAAGTCATTCTTTTCAAAATGTTAAAAAGTGACATGACGGGTTTTAGATCTTCAGAGTGGTAGAAGAGCCCTTCTCACCTAACTGGAGCTGACTTGATACTTGAACACTTTTCACTGCTTCAAGGATGCGTTGCTTATTTGGGAAAAGTCTGCTGTGGCTGGGGCTGGCAGGATGCTCCAGATCATTCAGCCCACAACTTGAGCTCCAAGTCCGTCTCTCCGGCTTCCCTGTTTGGTTCTTGCTGTAACCCCCTGGACTGAGGATGGAAATGACTGCATTCTATATAAAGTGAACAGACACTAGGAACAGTTGTCTTTTCCTTGCAAATGAAGAGACACACAGGGGAAGCATTGTGTGATCTTCTCTTCCTGCTCCTCCTGGACTTCGGAGCCAATCAGGGAATGTGAACGAGCTGAGAACAAAATATAGGCAAGTAGAATTTATGTGAGTTAGAATTTAAAAGTAAAATGTATTTCCTGTATGTTTCATTACTGTAATCTGTCTACTAAGAACTGCACTGTTAAAATATGAGAACTCTGGATCCTTCTATACCCTTTGAAACTTAGAATTTATGCTCCTATGTTTTTAAAATGTTAAAGATGGGGTATGGTGGTGCACACTGGTAATCCTAGCATTGGGAAGGCAGAGGCAGGAAGATTTCTTGGAGTTTGAGGCCAGCCTGGGCTACAAAGTGAGTTCAAGGCCAGCCTGAACTGCACAGTGAGACCCTGTCTCAAAAAACCAAAAAAGAAAAAAGAAAAAGTGTACTACCTTATAAAGTTCATTACTGTGGTACTTTTTAAGATCATGAAGACAACAGAAGCAAGCCAATTGAGTCACATAATTTGCATAATAGTGTTGAAAATGTATTTGGCAGTTGGATTCCCACTCCCTGAGAAAATTTTTTCTTTAAATTTTTTTTCTTTTCTTTTCTTTTTTCTTTTTTTTTTTTTTTTTTTTTTTTCCTGGTTCTC